TGAATTATGGCCTGTAGAAGACATAGTATTTCTCTCCATTTAAGCCAGATTCAGGTCATTCTTTTCCTTGGTTAAAATGAAGTTCCCTTCATAAAGGGACGTTGCACATTTCTTGCTTATTCAACAAGTTTTTTGTTTGTTTTTGGTTCTGGAGAGTGAACCCAGGGGTGACATCCCAATCCTTTTTTAATTTTGAGATAAGGCCTCACTAAGTTGCTGCGTCTCCCTAAGTTGCTGAGGCTGACCTTGAACTTGCAATCCTCCTGCCTCATATTCCCAAGTCACTGGCTCCACCATATCCAGCTTAGCATTTAATACTATCTTAAGTAGAATATTTTTTTCTACTGGATTTTCAAACTGGCTACTGCTTGCTTATACACTATAAATTTCTTAGCCACCTTACTGAAGCCATCTTACCAGTTTCAATACAAAACTCATGAGAATTATCAGAAAATACTTACCATTTAAAACCATAAAATCAGTTTGTCTTTCTTTCTGATGTTTGTATCTTTTTTCCTTCTTTTCTTTTAAAAAAAAGACTTTATTTTACTTATTTGTTTATTTATTTATTTATTATGTGGTGCTGAGGATCGAACCCATTGCCTCTCATGTGCTAGGCGAGCAAGCACTCTTCCTCTGAGCCACAAACCCAGCCCCATCTTTTTTCCTTCTTATTCTCTTGTACTATTTTATTGCTCTGATCAAACCCTCCAGCACAACTCAGATAAACTGAAATGACAGTAGGGAACTTTTTGTTCCTGAACTTTAAAACAGCTTGATACAACATTTATCTGCTTTCCTGTTGCTATTGTCTTCCCTAAGAAAGACTAATAAAAAAAATTTCAAGCATCTTTTTATTAACCTATAAATGTAACATAGAGCATTTACAGATTTATCTAAAACTGACTTCTATTTCTAGAATAAAATCTAGTCTAGTCTATCATAGTAATGTACTTTAATACAATACTGGATTTGATTTGTAAAATTAAGTATTTTATTATGAGAAAAGTCTATAATTTTATTCACTTTGCCCAGTTAAGAGAGTAATTTACACACTACAGGAAGAGAAAATTAAAGATATGACTATATCTACAAATATTACAACTTCATAATTATTAAAAACAAAGATAAAATTATAATGTAAGTGAAAACAAAGATAAAGTTATAATGTAAGTGAAATTTACCATGACAATTCAAGTAAATTTGTCAAAAATCTGTAAAACTTTTACATGAAAATTTTTTAAAATAAAAGTTACCTAAATAGTTTGGAGAATAAAAATGATCACTCAAAGTTTAATTAAAGCATAACACATTTAAAAAATTATGTTGGCTACATTTACTTCCTTTTCAAATGCCTTAAAATATCCTTAAGTGACTAATTTAATACCTCAAATGCCCATGGTGATCATGCCCCCCAAAGCCTGCAACATTATTTGTTTTACTTCCCTACAGATGTGGAGGTTTTACCCAAACAAAGGTACACCCATGTTGTTGAGCATATAAAACACTACCTATGTCACAAAGAAAGAAAGGATGAGAATCACTCACTAAATCCATTTCCTAACTGATGAACAAGAGACATATGCTCAATGACAAGCCAGTCAATGGCAACCCCAGAACTGGAACCCAAAGCCTATGACCTCTAACCAGGCCTCTTCCCAGGTCATCACCATCCCTGATACAGCAAAGAACCTGAGGTGTCAACCACATCTCCTCACCTGCTTCTTCACTAAGACTGACTGATGAATTCCAATAACAAGGCTGTCCTTTCACAGCTGCTTACCACGAATACCCTTTCAAATTCATTCAACACCCTTTGTCTCAAGAAGACAGAATTCCGACATCTTTCCTCACCTAACCTCACAAGCCAACCTGCACAGCAGGATTATAAAGTCTGCAGGTGTGGGAAGTGAGGCAGAGATCTTCTAGTCTTGTTCTTGCTTCCTTAAACCACGTCTACAACTTCTTATGGTACTTGGTTTATATCAGGCCTTTTATTTTCTTTAATATATGTAAAGTGGAGCATGATACTACTTATAGATCCATTATGAGGATCAAATGAGTTAATGCATATAAATATACTAAGAACTCTGCCTGACATAAAGTACATCATCAATATTAGCTATAATTCTCATTTTTACCCAAAATTATCAATGTGTTCAAGAAAGTTTCCAGCCCAAAGCTTCTAACTACGTTTTCCATGGGGATGTGTCATAACTTCCAGTCAACAAGATCCAAAATGCTTTTAACCTCCTCCCCAAACTTGCTGTTGCTTCTGGCTTCCCCAATTTTACTGTCAACACAAATCTGACATTGATTCCTCAACCTTTCTCGCCTTCCTTCTTAATCCATTGCTAAATAGGATCAATTCCAGACATATTCACTTGTTCTTTCCTTCCTGCAAGCTGCTGAAGTGATTATCCTAAATGATAATTCCTATTCTACTCTGCTATTAAAACAAATCATTGTTAGGAGCAGTAGTGCACACCTATAATCCCAGCTATTTGGGAGGCTGAGGCAGGAAGATCACAAGTTCAAGGCCAACATGGGCAATTTGGTGAGACCATGTCTCAAAACCAAAAATTTTAAAAAAGGGCTGAGAATAAAGCTCAGAGGTACAGTACTGATGGGTTCAATCCCCAGTACCTTAAAGAGAGAGAGGAGAAGGAGAATGTTCTGTCAAAGTTCAGCCTTTACAGGACAAAGCCTAAACTTAACTGGCTGTTCAAAGCCTTCCGGTTCCAAACTATCTTTTTTTGTTGTTTTGTTTTGTTTTAATTAGTTACACATGACAGTACAATGATCTTGTCAAACTTATCTTTCTAGCTTTCTCATCCAAGTTTCACAAAGGGATTATTTGCTGTTCTCTAAACACTGAACTCACTGTTCCCCAACCCATTTTTAGCCCCCTACATTTTCCCAACTCCTTACCTTTGCTCAAATCCTACCTTCACTTAAGAGTTCTCTCCATCTCTGCCCAGAAATGCCATTATTCAAATGTCCATTTAGCTATATCCTATCTTATGGCCAAGAAAGACTTTTTGTTTTCCCTTTATAGCCTCAGAGAACTGTACAATAGTAATCACTCATCTTACAAACAAAATAACTGTCTGAAAATGCTGAAAGTGACTAATTAAGGTGACTGACAGTTAGCCCTGGAATCAATATAGAACATCAAAACCTTTCCTTAGGCATGCCTGCCCCTCTTTCATAGTATTTAATGGTACTTTGTCCTATATTTTAGTCATTTATTATCTGTTTCTCAATTCACATTTCAGATGTAAACCCTAAAGGCAAATTTATTTCAGATAAAGAACTTCTTGCATAAAACAGAACCTCAAATGCTTGCTGAACCAAATTAAAATTCCAATGAAAAATACAGCAACTCACGTTTAACCCAGTTTCATGATGGGGCAAGAAATAAAAAACTGGTTCCTCAGAAGCATTCTTCCTGCCTCTTCTTAGCAAATGTCACTTTATTATAAAGCTCCTGAACACAGCTAATTTCTTCATTTGAGGAAAATAACAGTTGCCATCCTCACAGGCATATAAGACTAAATGAAGTAATGCAGGTAAAACACAGTGCCTGACTCATAATTCTCGGCACCAATTTTTAGTCATGCCCTTTCCCTCCTTTTATGTAGCCTGTTCCTTCTACTATCCAGTCATATCACTTCTTCCCACTACCTCACTTATAGGATAAGGTCCAAACTGCTTGGCCAAGTCCTATCTCAGCCACAGGTATATCTCCTGGCTCAGGACCTGCTGCTTCCCACCAACACTAGGATCACATTAAACAGCACCTGGAACCCCAACAAACTAAGACTCTATTAAACCTTCCCAATCTGTTGAGCATCTGCCCATAACCAAGTATTTTAAAAATGGGTTTCAGGACCAGACCTGGGTTCACCACCCAACTCTACCACATACTAGCTATGTGACCTCCAGCAAACCACTCCTACTCTCAGGGTCTATTTGATCTATAACAGGGGAAGGCCAATTATATCCTACCTTATAGTGTTGCTGGGAGGATTCAATAAATTAATGCATCTAAAGTAATTATTTGCATCCTGCCTGGCTTTGAGAAATGGCTGGATCATGGGAGCTATAATTAGAAATCTACTCTCTTCACTTCTCATGGCACTAACTACACTGTAGTATAACTACCTCTTTATATGTCTCCCTCTTAGATTAAAACCTATATGAGAGCAGTGACTTTATCTCGTATTTTCCAGTGTATGTGCACATTGTAATATTTAAAAGATAGGCTTTAAATATGTCCAGACCAAACACCTTGCCATAGTTGTGAGCAAATATATTCTTCAATATCATCGTATTTTCCTACAGCTCCTTAACTCTTTTCTAATGTGTTCTGCACCAATGAAATACTTTAATGTGACCGTCCGCCCTCGGATGTGCGCACCTGGGACGGTATACTCCATTCACAGGGAGGTGTGAGCGACAGGAGGTAAAGAGGCCCTGCCTGGCTTATGGTTGGTAAAAAGTATCATTATTATTCACAGAAAGAGAAGCAGGTCTCTGGTGGTGGCGGGTGGGGGTGTTCTACAGCCACAGCGGGGTGCAGTGGGGTGGGTCAGGATCCTCGGAGCTATGCATGGACGTTTGGGAATCCGGTGTGTGTGCTGGGATCGGGAACTGGGGGTCGGGGCCCAGGGTCCGCTGAGGCGAAGACTGGGCCCAGGCCTAGCCAGCTGCAGCCCTGTGCCCCTCTTGCCTGTCCTCCGGACGAGCCTCACCTCCTCCACTTTCAGCTCTTCCACAGTAGGCAGCTCCACTATCCCCGGCATGACGGCTGCAGCTGCGACCCCACCGAGGTGCCCTCAGCGGCTTTGCCCCGGTCTCCTTGAACTCCGCTTAGGACCGCCGTAGCCCAGCCTGCGCATGCGCATCCCACAGCACGCAGGCGCACTGCTCCGTTCCGCCGCCTGAGACGGAGCATGCGCAAATCCAGGAAGTCCGGCGCGTGCATGGGGCGGGGCTTCGCGTCGGTTCCGCCCACCCCTCCTGGTTGTCATAGTGAGGCGTTGTCCACTAAGGCTGGGATCCCAGCTGCTGGAGGCTAGAAGCGGGAGTCATGGAGTACACAGGGAGCAAATATATCGGGGAATATGTAGATGGGAGGTAAGGGCTTCATTTGATTCACTTAACTAGGTCTGAATATCTGCGACTGGGATAAGACGTCTGCCTTTTTGCTTCCGCAAGGGACTTTGTGCCAGGCACTTTTCACAAACTTGTTTGAGTAATTTGCTCAAAGGCACATATCCAATAAGCAGCAGAGCTAAGAATCATTCGTTCCACATATGGGGTGTGTGTGCTGTCTTTCAGCTTTAGATATGGGTATAAAATATTTAAAATATCAAGATTCTTGTTCTCATGAAGCTTACAATCTAGTTGGAGTGTATTGCCAATAAACAAATAAATGAGAAGATAATGTCAGATAGTGGGAAATGCTATGAAAAAAAGACATGGAGATTGGGAATTAGGGACTGTGGGTAATTCAAATTTATTGTGCAGCCATCCCACAGTATCTCAACAATATATTCCAGGACCCCAAGCAGAGTTCCTTTCCAATAAGCAATTCCATACCTGGGGTTGGAAAATATTCAGGGGGAAAGTACTGCTTCTGTACTGAACATGTACACATTTTTTTTTGTCTTGTCATTATTTCCTAAATGATGCAGTATAGCAACAATTTACATAGCATTTACATTCTACTAGGTATTATAAATAGAGAAGATTTGAATTTTATAGGACAATGTGCAAAAGATTACATGCAAATATTGCCATTTTATATGAAGGACTTGAGCATGCATAAATCTGAGGAGGTCCTGGAACCCATTCTCCCCTATACCAAGGGACACCTGAACTTTCAGTCCATGATTGATTGAATCCACAATCTAGAACCTGCAGACACAAAGGTCCTACTGTACATGGTGTCTTCCCTCAGGGAGTTCACAATCTCCGAATTATTAGAATTATGTACACAAATTACTCCAAGGGACAAATAGTAAAAGTTATTTAGTTCAACAAATGTTGGTTGTCCTCCAAGGACCAGGCTCTGGATTTTACCCTGGTCATAATCCTTGCCCTCAAAAAGCTCATTCAAAGATAGAGTGGCAAGTAAATGTAACACAGATAACTACAGTTCTGCATGGTCAGTGCTTCAATGGAGAGAAGCAGAGAACACAGAAATGGCTACTCTTCTTTGCATGAAGGTGGAATCTCTGTGTTATAGCTGGGGAAAATAAGGATGAAATAGATTGCCAAACAAGTGGTAGTTGTTCAAAGGGTGAAGCACACCTACCATGGGACTGTAAAGATGGAGAAATGAAGAGTGAGAATTTGGTGGAATCTGTGGGCTGTATTCACAGGTTGTTGGATTCCAGTAGTTTTTATTTTTTAAGGAAGAAGAAGGGCTAGGGTTGTAGCTCAGTGGCAGACACTTGCCTAGCATGTGTGAGGCCCTAGGTTTGATCCTCAGCATCATATAAAGATAAATAAATAAAATAAAGGTATTGTATCCATTTAAACTACAAAAAAATTTAAAAGGAAGAAGAGATCAATGGTCTAGCCAGGGTTACAACATAGATTTCTAGAGATGGTGGTAGTAAATTTGGGGTTCTATCTTTAACCCTTAGTCAACCTTGCAAGGGAAATGTCATTAGCTCCACTTTAGAGGTAATTGGGGTTTAGAGCTTCAGATACTTGTCCAACTCATAGGTAAGTGGCAGAATGCTTGGTGTGCACTTTCCCTTTGGCTGAGAAGGGGTAATTTCCTTTTAGAATTTAAAGAAGAGAGTAGCTTCTGTATACAATAAGAAGTTGATATTTAACATTTAGTTTGTATAGACTCCCTACTTCTGCTGGGGATGTAAAAAAGATTACAACTGCTTTGCAAAAGTTTGACCATTTCTTAAATGGAAATACATACCCCATACAAACATACATATATGAGTGCATTTATAAATTACATAAATGTTATCACATTTATTTGTGATAACAACCCCCAAGTTTCCCATTAATAGGTAAGTGAATAAACAAATTGTGGCATGTCTATCCATGGGAACACTACACAACAAAAGGAGTGATAAATGGTACACACAACACCAACATGAATGAATTATAAAGAATTGTGTTGAGTGAATGAATCCATGGGGCTGAGGTGGTAGCTCAGTGGTAGAGTGCTCGCCTAGCATGCATGAAGCACTGGATTAGATCCTCGGCACCTGATAAAAACAAACTAATGTATCCACCTAAGACTAATGGTTCATAAATAAATAAATATTTTTAAAAAAAGAAAGAAAGAATCCAGACACCAAGAAGTACACACACAGGACTGGGGATATGACTCAGTAGTAGAACACTTGCCTAGCACAAAAGGCCCTGGGTTGATCTCTAACACAATCAATCAATCAATCAATCAGTAAGATGTATGATTCCCTTTATATAAAATCCTAGAAAATGCAAACTAACCTCGTGACAGAAAGCAGATGAGTGGTTCCCTGGGCATGAAGGCTGTGGGGAGGGGCACACAGGAAGGATTACAAAAGGGCATGCAGAAATTTTGGAGGATAACAGTTATATTAATTATGTCTGTTGTGATGATGGTTTTCTGAGTGTATATCAAAACTTACCAAATAGTCCAAGCTAAATACATGTATTTTGTGGTATGTCAATAGTACTTCAATAAAGCTGGTCTTAAAAAACAACAACAACAACAATAAAAGAGATGATTTCCTAGTACCATGTGTGAATATAAAAAATAAAAAGCTAATGTAGGATCTTCCCTCAAGATCATGGTTTCTTTGGAATAGTTACAGAATTGAATTCTAGATAACACTACTGCAAAGCAGCACAAGAAGTGCTAGGATAGACTTACAAACGCAGGGGGCAAAGGGAAACCAATAACATTTATGTAGTGACCACCATGCTCCAGGTGGCTTTGCCTGCATCTTCCCTTCCTTAAAGCAATTCTGTGTGGTAAGCATCATTATCCTCTTTTACAGATAGGAAAAGTAAGACTCAGTAATTACATAACTTGCTCAAAGTTACCTGGTTAGCACTGGACAGAGCAGGTGTTGAAACCCAGGCCTATCAGACTCTACAACCACCTGCTTTCCACTATAGAGCCCTGTTGCCTCCCAGAAGCCACACCCAACTGGCTTCACAGAGATGATATTTGAAATACACCCTGAAGGTTGGGTAGGATTTCGATGGGTGGAGAATCAAGGTGAAGAATGTTACTGGGTAGTGGGAACAGCAGGACCAATAGCCCAGAGGACTTGTGTAGGGAAGAGCAGATAACCAGTTTGGCCAGAGGTAGGGTAGGCTTAGAGGGGTTATGGGAGGGAAAACTGGGGAGTGGGCTGAGCCCCAGAAAAGACAAAGTTCCAACACTTTACACAATTCTGGCAGTGGAGGAATCGCTAAAAGATCTTCTAGGGCTCAGTGTTGGAAATCTAATCGATTTCATTTCTGTATCACTCCTCATAGTGCATATTTGTGGTAGAGAATGAATTTTGGCCAAATGAATTAATAGGAGAATGAATGAATGGTAGATATTAGAAATATGGTAATCATATCCTCATTAGGCATTGAAGTCTTCACTATAAAGTGGCTTTCTGCATTCTTTTTAACTTACTTCACATTTAGAATGAAAGCTTTTCACTTTGAATGAATTAAAGAATGAAAGGGAAGGAGGAAGAGAGGAAAAGAAAGAGGGACAGAAAGGGAAGGAGGGAAGCTGACAAAGTGGCAGAAATGGAGCTGCCCACACCCAGGTCTGCAGGCTCGGAAGCTGGGCCTTCCCCACTGGGCACTCATGTTTGGGGCTGTGGCACCCATTCCATCAGTTCTCCGGACTTTCTGTTCCCTTCATTCCTTACTCAGTAGATGTTTGCAGGGCACTTGTTTAAGAGGGAAGTGTGGTCCTAGGAGTTGAGAGCAAGGTGTTCCTCTCTAGAGGCTCTGATTAAACACAGGAGATGAGATGTTTAATTGCAGCGCAGGGCCTAAAGTGCTGAGCCTCCAACAGAGTTTAGGAAAGGTGACTTCAGCCAGGGGGGGGAATGGAAAAGGAATGAATTAAAACATAGCTCTCAGCCAGGCATAGTGTAGCATGTACCTCTGTAATCCCAGAGACTCGGGAACCTGAGGCAGGAGGATCACAGGTTCAAGGCCAAATTTAGCAAGATCCTGTCTCAAAATAAAAAATAAAGAGGGTTGGGGATGGAGCTCATTGGAGAGTGCTCTGGGTTTAATCCCCAGTACCACAAAAATAAATAAATAAGAGCATATTTAAAGAGATTTATTAAGAGATATTGGCTCATTGTATGTCAGGCCCTTTACTAAGAAAACTGTCGTATACTGTCAGGGGTGACCTCAGAACTGAGATTAGTTGCACCCATGAAGAAGCCGGTCCCCTGGTCCAGCTGTCCTTGCTGTCCCTGCCCTTGATTTCCTGCAGGGCACTTGCTACACATTGTGCAATTGCTTACTTGTGTCCCTTGTGCAGACCGGGAGGGCTTCTGCCTTGCTTGGGTCTGTGCTGTATCCAGCAGCCTGGCTCTCGACCTAGCACTTGGCTCACAGCAGGTGCTCTGGAAATATTTTTTTGGGAGGGAAGGATAGAGACAGAGAAATTTGGGGAAGTGTCCAGGATGATCCTTCTAGAAAAGGTGCTGTGTGTCAAACCCATATCTCCTATCTCTAAATTTCAAATTTTTTAAGTATCCCAATTGTGGCTTAGTGAGGAGGAATAGGGAAATCAAAAATCTGCTGATTGAGCCCTGGCCTTCATTTCAGTTTCTATGGTGTGGCTTTGGATACATCCCTACCCTCTCTGGGCCTAGCAAGAAGGTATTTCATTGAACAGCATGAACTCCAGGACAGCCTACAGGCGAAGGGAGAAGGAACAGACTGAACTCTGCCCCACCTCTTAAGCAGGATTTTTGAGGGAAACAAAACAAAATTTGGGGTTTCAGACAGAATATTGCTGAGAGGATGACACGCGAAATCGAGGACTAGCTTCCTATAGGGCTCAATGATTTTCCTATGTCCTTGCAGGATGGAGGGCAAAGCTGAATACATCCTCCCAACAGAAACAAGATATGTTGGGGAAATGAAGGACGGCATGTTTCACGGTGAAGGAACCCTGTACTTCCCCAGCGGGAGCCGATATGACGCTGTCTGGGAAAAGGGATTGGCCATCAAGGTGAACAGATGGGGGAGGCAGAGAGGGATCCTTGGACAGGAAGAGTCCACCCCCCCACTGCTGTGATGCTCTGCCCCCCTGTCTAGCACCCACCCATATCTATTTTGTATCTCTCCCACGTCTTGATTTCCCAGAATATTCTCTAGGATATTCTAGAATATTCTCCCTCTCAATCTGGAATGGTCCCTGAGGAGGCTATGAATCCTGCTATGCCTCTTATTATTTGACCTTGGGCCTATGACTTTACCTCTCTTGAGACTAGAGTTCCTCATATGTAAACCAGGGACAGTGGTTGTATTCATTGTCTATTGCTGCTGCAGCAAATTACCACAAATTTGGTGTCTTAAATCAGCACAGACAATCTCACAGATCTGGAAGTTGGCAGTCTAAACTGAGTGAGCTGCATTCCTGAGACTCTAGGGGACAATGTGTTGCCTTGCCTCTGGAAGCTGCCTGCATTCCTTGGCTCCTCACCATGCTTCACTCCCACCTCTGCTTCCTGCGTCACATCCTCTTCTCTGCCTCTGCTAGTATCATTTTGTTTTCTCTCACCCGGACCTTCCTACCTCTTTCTTATAAAGACCCTATGATTATATTTGGTGCACCCAGAAACCCCAGGAGAATCTCCCCCACTTCAAGATTCTTAATCTAATTGCATCTGCAAAGTCCTTTTTGCCATGCAAGTTGACATAATCACAAGTCCCATCGTATGTGAACCCCTTTGGAGGCCATTATTCAGCCTGCCACAGTAGTACTAGGCATCTCCTAGGAGGTTGTGAGAATAAATAAAGCAAAATATGTGAGCACTTTGCCAAGTTCTTGGCACAGAGTGGGTACTCAATAAGCACTAGCTCTGCTGCTGTCATACATCATCTAATCCAAGGGGTCTGAACCTGGAATTTGTGGCCCATGGATAGAATTCAGAGATCAGTGAACCTGGTTTATGCACAAAAGTTTCTGTATGTATGGGAGTATGTTTTTCTCTGGGAAAGAATCCATAGCTTTCATGGAGTTTCACTGGGTGTGTTGGGCCCTGACTCATACATAACCTTAAAAAAGGTTAAGAAATACTTCTTATTTTATAACTTGGAGAAGCTAAACCTCAGGAAGGGGATATGACTTACCCAAGGTCACACAGTGAATTAATAGTACTGTGGGAATTTCCACCCATGTTTCCTGATGCCTAGGCCAGTGTAGATTCTGCATCCTGAGATTCCCTTTAGCATGGATGCAGCAAAAGCAGAATGCACATGTTTGGACAAAGGGTTGTGGCTGATGGTGCTGAACTTTCGGCTATGATAATAAAAGAATAATAAGTAACTTTATGAGTGCTTAATATGTCTGTGTGTAGAATTCTCTGAAGAATCAAAAGGGCATGCATGAACACATGTATATATACACTATACATATATAGAGAGAGATTTATTAAGAGATATTGGCTCATGAGATTATGAAGGCTGTCTCACAATCTGCCCTCTGCAATCTGGAGCCCCAGGAATGCCAATGGTGAAGTTCAAGTCCAAACTCAAAGGTTGAGAGCCATGGAGTCAATGATGTATTCCCAGTCAAAGTGCAAAGGCCCAAGAACTAGAAGTGCTGGTGTCCAAGGGCAGGAAAAAATGGATGTCCCTGCTCAGGCAGAGAGACAGAATTGGCCTCTTTTCTGCCTTTTTGTTCTATTTAAGCCCTCAAAAGATTTGATGATGCCCACCTGCACTGGTGAAGGCAATCTAAAGTAATCATTCTACTGACTCAAATGCTAATCTCTGTGGAAACACCTTCACAGACACACTCAGAAATATTTTGCCAGCTATCTGTGCATTGCTTAGTCCAGTTAGGTTGACACATAAAATTAACTATCACAATCAGGCACTGTATTAAGTGCTTTACATGCACCATCTCATTGAATTCTCAATCGTCCCTATTAAATATACACCATCATTATTCTAATTTTACAAATGGGAAAACTGAGGGCCAAGAGAATGGGTTGTCTACCTAAATTCACAGAGTTCCCATCCTTTGGGTGGCAAGCACAGAGCACAGAACTTTATACCCATTCCCTCCAATCCTCACAACCATAATAATTGTGACAATCATCACCTCTTTTCTATGGCAATAAGAACCCATCTCTTCCTTGACATCCACCTTCTCTTCAAAAAGTCTCCTGCTTCCTCAAGAGCACATGTGTTCTTTGTCTTCCAGGGCACATACACCTTTGCAGATGGGCTGCAGTATGATGCTAAGAACTGGCACTACTGCGATGGCTATGACCGGAGGTTTTACACGGAGATCTGCTTTGGCTTGAAGCCTTCAGGTATCCAGGCATCCGCCCTTTCCTTCACACCCAAACTGAGAGGGAAACTAAAGCAGTGTTAAATAGTGTCATGGCCTACTGAAGTAACCCAAGGAGTGGAGGAACTGAGCAGAGGCAGCAGAACACAAGAGAGCCAGGTCCTGGAGCCAGAAAGGCCAGTCCTCAAATCTTAGCTCCATCTACTAGCTAGGCACTGTGAATAAGGAACTGCCCCTCTGCACCTCAGCTTCTCCCCTCCAAAAGGGAACGATAACATCATCTACCTCACAAGATGGTTGTCGATAAGATAATTCCTATGAAGTGCACGGAACAGTGCCTCGCATGTGCTTGGCAGGTGCCTGGAAGGTGCATGGTACATGGTAGCTGTTTCTATTTATGGTACCTACTGCAACTCTAAAGATATGTAAACAGGCCAGGCACAGGGCGCATGCCTGTAATCCCAGAGGCTCAGGGGGAGGCTGACACAGGAGGATGGCGATTTCAAAGCCAGCTTCAGCAACTTAGCAAGGTGCTAAGCAACTCAGTGAGACCCTGTCCCTAAATAAAATATAAAAAAGGGCTGGGGATGTGGCTCAGTGGTTAAGCACCCCTGAGTTCAATCCCTGGTACAAAAAAAAAAAAAACATAAATAGTTAAAAAAGTGAAAGATTAGGGCAAAGAGCAGCACCAATGGAGTAAGTGCTCTGTGGACCCCGTGCTAGGAGAGACTCCGTGGAATCCCTGTCATCTTGACTCTCCTGAGAACCCTCCTGGACAACCTTCCCAGTCCCATGTCACAGAGGAGAAAATTGAGGTCATAAAGTTTGGACACGTTTCCTGGTGGCAGAGTTCATCTGGGAGCCAAGTCTCCCTCTCTGTATCACAATACCTCCCTGCGAAAGCCATGTCCAACCCAGAGGGCTGCGGCTGGACCAAGAGTCTGCCTTCAGGGAATGGTGTCTTAAGGGGCTCTCTGTGTTTCTAAGACTCATGTAAGGTTGGTGCATCTCAAGTAGAGCATAGTTCTGAGCACAGCTGAGGTGATACATTCCAAATGACAAAGTGACTTCAGAAACTGTAAAAAAAAAAAAAAATCTTAATTTAGGTTAGGAGAGAAACTGTGGTGCAGTTGTCAGCTTAGAGCCAGAAGGTCTGAGTTCGAGTCCTGGCATTCCCTCTCAATGGCTGGATAAACTTGGACAAGTCACTGTCCAACAGGGAAGAAACTTCCAGAAAGCATCCAGGCATTAGAATCAGATAGACCTGAACTCAGATTCCCAGCTGCTTTACTTCTTGGCTTTGAGACCCTGGGCCAAGAGACCTGTCTTCTCTCCCTTTCCTGTCCTGACACTTACTCCCCCATTTCTTCATCTTGCTCGTGTCTCCTCATCTCAACACCCCCCATTATTTCTGATGAGGTTTCCCATCGGTATACCCCCTCCCTTCACTTCCAACCTTCAACTGCCATCAGCTTCCAAATTGAAATCAAAGTCCCGAGACTCGGATTCTTGCATCCAGCTTCCCTTCCATGGGTTGTCCCTCAACTTGTCTGCCCTGGTTTCACTACCATCTCACCAACCCTGTCTCCCCAGTGATAACTATCTCAGTGAGTGTCAGATAAGCTACCTCTCAGCTTCCCTTTGCCCCACGGGCAATAGATCACCTGGTCCTAAGATTCTACCTCTCAAATATGTTCCTTCATTTGTTCATTCAACAGATACTGAGCACCTCGGTGCGAACCTCTGTCAGGGTTCTGCTCATCCTCTGCCAATGGCCTATTCCAGACCTCCTTCATTGCTCCCCTGGGTTACCTAACCTCCTCAGATCCCCACTCGCTTCCTAAACTCATATGTGAATACACAACTAGTGTAATTTCACAACATGTTCAACCACAAGAATGGCATCAAAATTGTAATGGGTTGCACCCCATATATATATAATATGTCAAAATATACCCTATTATCATGTATATCTAAAAACAACAAGTTAAAAAAAGATCCCACACTTCCTCCTGGGCTGGTCTCCATTCTGCAATCACTTGCATCTTTGGTAAGTATAAATCTGGTTACCACCTCCCAAACCTCCAACCTTGAGTATTTCCTACTACCCCAAAGGTAAGGATCCAAATTCATTTTTTTTTTTCATGACTGGAATTTGAAGCCGGGGCACTTTATCACTGAGCCACATCACCAGTCCTTTTTATATTTTGTTTTGAGACTGACCGTGTCTCTGGCTAAGCTGCTCAGGCTGACCTCAAACTTCAGATCTGCCTGCCTCACTCTTCTTAGTCACTGGAATTACAAATATGAGCCACTGCTTCCAACAAGGGTCCAAATTCTTAAAAATAACTCATTCACCAGCTCCTTCTAATGTCCCCAAGCTCTCCCTAGCTACCCACCCTCTCGGCCCTTCTTGCTCTTGCTATGGCTGCTTCCTCTCTGTTCCTCACAGACACCAAGTTTTTTCCCGCCGTTCTTTGACTTGGAATGCTCTAACCCATCCACTTTACTCAAATAACTCCTTCCCAACCTTCAGGTCTCAGTTTTATGTCCCTTTTTCCAGAAACCCCTTCCCTGAATTTCTAGACTGGGTGAGGTCTCCCCGTGGCATGTCACTAAGCAGCTGTGACCCTCCTCCAGAGCTGAGATCAGGAGTGTTCTGGCTCGATCTTCCTGTACCAGCTGTGAGCAACACCAATACAGAGCTTGGACTTACTAAGGGACACGTCCTAGCACCTAGCAGATTGCCTGGCATATAGGAGGAGCTCTGTAAAGAGTTTCTGTCAAAGGGATAATACTCCGGACATCACAGTGGAGGGAGAGAAGCACACTTGAGGAATCAAGGTAATGACATCAACAAAGCCATTTTGGCTGGTGGGGGAGGACCCAGAGCTGCCAGCCTAGGTTTAACTTGAGAACCTTGCATATCACTCTCCTCCTGGGTGATGGGGCCTAGACTTTGTCATGAGCTTTTTACCCCAACTGAGGCCTGTGGATAAAGAGCCCATGTGTGGGTGAAGAGAATTCAGCCCTCCCATGGCAGTTAGTTTCACCAAAGGGGAGCCTCTGCCAGGCTCAGAGGCAGTGTGGTGACCGTTCTCTGGCCTTCCCCTTCTCCTCCAGGGACTCCCAGTAGAGGAGCTCTGTCCTAAGAGCCCACTCCTTTCCCGTATCACTCTGCATTCTGCCTCAGAAGGCAGGCATTGTTAGGGCAGCTCTGCTGCTGGTCAAGGTGATGATTAGGGATGACCCTTGACTTCTCTGAGCATCTGTGAAATGGGCATTGGCCTGAGGCTTCAGTGAGAGAATGACTGTAAAGCACTTGGCATGGAATAAATGCTCATTAATCATTAATCAATATGCATGGCGTTGGGGTCAGGGCCAGGCGTTATCATTAGCCAACATTAGAGCACCTACTCAGCAGGACATTGAGCTGTGAACATGAGGCAGTGTGGATGTGGGCATCCAACTGTCCATCCAGAGAACAGGGAATGACAGGGTCTACAATTAGAAGGAATTTAAGAAGTTATTTATTCCAACTTCTTCCTATACTCAGGCCACAGCATTCCAAGATAACACTCAAGGTGCTGACACACAAAGTGCTTTGACTCCTCTTTCCTTCCTGGGCATCTCAGCGTCCATGTCTTGGGGCTGCACCCAGGCCCTGCCTCTCC